CGGATGCGACACCCATGAAATATAGACTTCAGTGGTACCCGTCTCTCCACATGGAGTACCTCAAGGAGCATGTGGGTGAGGTCGAACGCGCCGGTCTCGTCTACCGAAACTACCGGTCGAGATGGGCATGAGCCCCGCGCATTATCCCCAAGAAGGACACCGGCGACTTCCGAATGACGATCGATAGTCGCCCGGTGAACGCTTGCACAGAGGCGATGCCGTGGCCTATGCCCAATCTCAACGCGGCTATGTCGATGTTGGCCAGCACGTCCGTGTACTTCAACCTCAATTGGTTGAAGGAGTATTGTCAGCTGCCGTTACATCCCGACAGTCAAGAGATCTTTTCGTTTATGACCCCCATCGGGATCTGTACCCCCACGAGGGTCCTCATGGGATGTACCGACGCCGTGGCGTTCTGCCAGGCGGCGGTAAACTAAATTTTCGGGGACCTCTTATTTCATGGGGTCCTCGGCTGGTTGGACGACTTGCTCGGATACGCGCCGTCCAAGAACTGATTTGCCTGTTGGCCAAGGTCCTCGGTATTTGCAAACCTATGGCCTCAAACTACGCCCCAAGAAGTGTGAGTTCTTCGTGAGACGTGTAGAGTGGTGTGGCAAACTGATCTCGGCGGGATCACACACTCACCGAAGCGATTCCAAGGTCTGTGCGGTCTGGCGGCTCCCGAAACAGCCGCTGAATTTCAACAGTTCGTGTGTGCCGTCAATTGGATGCGTGCGTCCATACCCGAGTACGCCAAGCTGGTGGCAAATGATGCTAGACGGAAGTCGAAGTTGGCAAGGATCCCCCTGGTCAACATCAGATGGGCCGACAACCATGCGTCATGTTTCGAGGCCGTCAAAGATACTTTGCGCCGCATGGTCCCGTTGGCCCATCCAACCTCCGAAAAGGTGGTCTGCCTATACACCGACGCCAGCAACGGGTTCTGGGGTGTTGTAGCCACTCAGATCCCCCTAACTGACCTCGGCCTAGCAACGGTCGACCAACGCCACGAACCACTTGCATTCCTCAGTGGTGCGTTCCATGGGGCAAGCGAGCGCTGGCCCATAGTGGAGGAGGCGTTTGAACTCGAGGCTTGCAAGCGCCTCGAGTTCCGCTGTTGCGTCCGGGTGGTTTCCGCCTATTCATGGGCCATGGACCATCGGAATTTGGTGTACATGTTCCACCCGAGTGGTGGTGGTGCAAACATCGCCAAGTACCAGGCCAAGAAGCTACAACGCTGGTCCATGGTAATATTTACGTTCCCCTACGTGATCGAGCCGATCGAGGGGGACGAAAACGTTTGGGGGACCTATTGAGTCAGTGGGGGGCGGCGAACTGCGACGCCAGCAGTTCGTGTGTCTACCGACTGGTACAACTGGTGTCGCCGTTGCATTCCAACAATTTTAAGTGGCCCGCCCTGGATGAGATCGTCCGCGCTTAACGCAATCGTCTCGACTGAGGTGTGTCAGTCGACATTGAAGCAAAGCTCTCGTCAAGTGGTCAGTTGACAAGAACTGTTTTATAATGCCGTCGGATGCCACGTGGATCCCGAGCGGCTGTGCGGACATACAGCAACTGTTATGTGTGGTCCCTCATGCGGGAATGGGCGGGCACCGTCGCGCTCAAGCTACCAAGAAACCATCACAGAGCTGTATTATTGGAAGGATGTTGATGCCGACGTCGAAGCATTCGTTATGGTCTGCATGCACTGCATGGGCGTGGATGGGGGTGGTGGAGCCCCGACCACGGGGCCAGGAGCTGCACGCCGACTGACCCAACGACCTCATTCAATTCGACTGGCTCCAGTTGGAATTCGAGGTGAACAGCTGGCGGTGTCTTCTAGTTGTCAAGGGCAACTTGAGCGGGTATGTCCGCCTCTACCCTGGTGCTGGTGCGACGGCGCAGGCACATCGACGGCATTGTTGGACTGGTTCGGACTATTTGGCGTCGTATCAACGTGGGTTAGCGATTGAGGCTCTCACTTCAAAAACCAAGTTATGGGAGAGGTGCGTCGGACGCCCACCACCACTTCTCACCCCCGACTGTCCATGGGCGAATGGGACAGTGGAGGTGGTGAACCGACTGGTCTTACAGTACGTATGGTCCGCGTGTTGTCCAGCGAGTTGAAGTTGCGTGCGAACCAGTGAACATCCACCGTGCCGATAGTTCAATCTGCTTTGAACCACCAGCCGGCGGATCGGCTGGGCGGTGTGCCATCTATCACGGCGATTTTGGCTCTGCCAGCCAGTACATCGGTGCGAGCTCTCTTCCACCCTCGGCTGAAGGAACAGGCCACGGTGGATCGGCTGGCAAAGAGCCAGCAACAGTATCTACAAGCGGTGGCTAGCGCCCTTGACCAGATGCACAAGGGTTGCATGTCGAAGGTTGCATCGAAACGAGAGCAATGAGCGAAAAAGCAAGGCGTGAAGTGACCAAGCCTAGCCTTGGGCGACTTCGTGCTGGTAGCTCGGGTGGTTCGACACCCGAACAAATTGGTCCTCCGCTGGAAGGGTCCATGCCGTGTGGTGCGGGTCCATTCGGACCATCTGATGGATGTCCAGCAGTTGCTACCCCCGCATGCCATCAGCCTCCACCACGCCAGTCGCCTCAAACTGTACTCCGAAGCGGGCCGTGACGTTGCCGAGGATCTCCTCGAGCAGGTTGCCTTTGGAGACAGCGGGTTCCATGTTGAAGCTCTCAAGGAGATCCGAGACAACGGCGGCCGCTTCGAGGTGCATGTGCAGTGGATAGGGCTGGATGCGGCTGAGGCATCCTGGGAGCCAGCAATGACCTTGTACGAAGACGTTCTCCTGCATTTTCGACGGTGGGCTAAAGCCAACGCGAAGATGGAACTGATGTCGTCGCTGGTCGCTGACGTGGAACGAGCGGTGGGGCATCCACTCTAGGAGGGCTGTGTTCCCGCGGAATCTTGATCCACGTGTATTAATGTGTTCTCGCAATGTTCGAACATCCGTGTCAGCGTGTAGTACCGTAGGTATACAACTCTGGTACTGTATAGGCGAAATGAAGTGTGCAGTCAGTACCCTATACTCTAATTCACTTTTGCTTTTCCCCTGAAAGACTGAGAGAGTCAACAGCGATTCACTTGCGGAGTCGGGGACCCCGAAGTCAGAACAGTGAACCATGTCAATACAATGAGGTAGAAGCGCTCCGGCACTGTTTGGTTCATCGTGTAAACCTTTGTGTCGATCGACTGCCAGACACAGCTTTCGATGTAGTTCGCTGTGGTCCTGCGCTTGACGAGCACGCAGCCAGCTTCCCACAGTAAGTAGTTACAAGGCCGGACGGAACTGCTTGATGAGCGGATGGTCCAAGTTGGCGTGGCCACTTGTCAGTTCACATCGCTCGCATAACACGACCGACGGGCACATGGTGCATCGGTACAAGATGCCAATGATGGTCGATGCTAAGCAGCAGGAGCACTGGGTGTTTAGGTGCGTCCACCCCGATCGGTTGTTCGTGACGTAGTTGGATGTACCATACTGTGCGTGTGTGCGCCAATAGGGAACTGCTGATGCATCAAGTTCTATCGGCAGTCGTGTTTTGTTGAAGGCGTCGGCCCAACGTTTGGAAGGGACGCTTTGTTGCCGCTCAACACTTTGAATATGTACGCAATGAATCTCCAGATACGACTTGTCCAGCTTGAGCCGACGAGGGCGGCGTGATTGGGTGGGGCTTAACCCAAAGCAAGTGCTATCAACCTCCGAGCCGAACGGGTCGCTTAGCAAGTTTCCCACACGGACCAAGCTGCAGGTGCACATGGGTCCCTCGACGTCTCAAGTAGAAAGGTGGTCGCTTTACACTCGTAGTAGCATGCCCCCCAGGGGGACGTTGTTGGGTCGTCTACTTCCTGTTCCTAACTCGCTGCTCGATTCCTTGAGGCACAACAAGTCGAAGTAGCTGCGACGAAGTAGCAGAGACCGAATAGCGTCAGAGCTTCATTCGAGCACCACGTCAACCACCACGTCAAAGCACTTAGGAAAGGCGGAAAGAGCGGCATTTGGACAGCAGTTTGTTGTGGTGAGATCCAGGCGGGAAGCTCGGAAACGGATGAAACATGGTCGGCAATAGAAAGGTTTCATAACAGCCCTTTCGTTTCCTGTTTCGCTTCCGGGGGAGATGAATGGAAAACGAACAGATTTCACAATCAATTTCAAACGTTTCACGGATTTTCTCCTCTCCTGAAATAGTTGTAAATTATTGAAACGACTGCAGACACATATCAACTGCGAGGTTTTCTCATGGTTCTCTCTGTGAGCGACATCATCGAACTCCTACCACTTGCGACGACTGATACCACTCGTCGCATGCTGATGTTCCTCTACGTGTATCAGTACATCGAGCCACCCGTCTTTCCAAACGTCTGCTTCTCGCTCGATGGCTACGCACATGCAAACGCCATATTGGATTTCCGCTTCGACGTTGCTGGCAAAAAGCGACTGAGTCACCTACTTGGATAGCCTGTTGTTATCATCACAAAGAATACACACTTTTATG